AGAGGAGAGTTTCTCCAATGCTCACAGAACTCACCAACGGCGGTCCCTGGGGCTCGCCACACCCACCAGCGTCTTAGAGCTACAATTGCTCTATCCACTGGGAAAAGAGATGATAGGAGTAAGTCCTTCTCTTTTCTTTTGACCTCAGTGGCCTACATCCTTTGTAAGACAGCCCCACTCAGCCTGCTAGTCTCTAAGCTCAGACACCTGTCTCACCCCCTCCAGGCAACCATTCATCAACAAGACTATTCTGAATCACATCCCAGACGCCAGGACTTAAACCTATTATAATTCACATTCCCGCCTCTTGAATCTTTATTGTTCTCCCCATCCAAGCCAATGGTCCCCCATTCATTCCCATTCCCCCCACCTCTTCACACAGCAAGCTCTCCAATGCTGAAAGAACTCCAGACTGTATCATTTCAAAACCACTTTCAGATGCATGATATCCAATGAGGAACTGAGATTCAGGGAGACTACATGACTGTCAAGATCACGCAGCTGGTAATTGGCAGCACGGGAACGTGACCTCAAACTCGAGTCTCCCACCATCCCCTCTGCTCTTCCCCTCTCACCACCCTGCCACTCTCATCCCCTCCAGCCACCTCTTCTGACCAGAGGCCTGTGAAATTCTTCCTTTGGTCTAAATTGATGTCCCCTCTCTCTGCAGCTCCCTTTTTTACCCTCTATCATCCAGAGATGCCCCATTCAAGGCACAGCTGATGAAAGAAATGTAAAGACGGAAGGGAATGATGGGAGAGGGGGGATATAAAACCCAGGGAGGAGACATTCCCTTTGCCACGGTTGGAAATGAAAGAGGAAGGGCTGCTCCGTGGAGGGAGGCACAAAAAGTCATCCTTGCCAAGCAAGGCCTGAGAGAAATGGTGCTCCTTTTTCTCCAGAGATCCAGGGAACCACAGTTTATCTTGCCATCTTCACAGCAGCTCCACAAACATATGCAGGAAAAGGGGGAACCGCTGCACAGCTTTCAAAACCAGTGAGAGCAGAAGATCACTCCGTGGGGCATATACAAAATGAGGACAAAAGGTGGGATAAATCAGCCAGTGAGGCACCCAGTCCAGTCCCTCAGCTTCTTCCTCCTGCCCATTTGATCTCCCCAGGATTATTTAAAAAAACGTTGGTGTGTCACAAACACATAGGCAAGATCACATATTATCCCATTACCTAGACACACACACACACACACACACACACACACACTCACATACATCATCTCATTCATACACAGAGCAATCTCAGGTATTCGGGTAAGTGCAAACCTTCCCAACATATTTATTATCACACATGCCATTTATAAACCTGAAAACAAAGAGACATCATCACAGAGCTCTGACTCCACGAGCTGTCCCCCACCCGCACGCCAACCTTTACCCAGACACATATGTATACATGTCAGGCATTCACGATTTCATCCGGATACGTCTCATTCACACGTCCAAATAACGTTTCCATATCCTCTCTGTAACTCCTTCAGTTCTGGGCTCTGTCCTGAGGTCTTCAAATCCCGCACCTTTTAAACATCTCCCTCTCAAAAAACAACACCACCTCCTTTTCTTCCACCTCCATTTCCTGCTACCCCCCCCGCCCCCGCCCACGTACAGGAGCACACACACCACAGAATCAGAGACAGAACTGGGCTCCGTGACATATACGCGGATACTCATTAATTCATTTGTTCATTCCTTTATTTAACAGCATTTCTTGAGTGCCTATTAACTTCCAGGTACCACACTAGACTCCGATGAAACAAAGATGAGCAAAAAGAACGCCCAGCGGGGTCCTTGCTCCAGCTCAGCTGTAATGACCTTGAACCGCAGCTTAGGACAAAGAGCCTAGACCTTGGGAGTCCTGAGTCCCATGTGAAGAAAGAAGAAGAGAAAGGGATTGTGTTTATACTATCCCAAAGGAAAAGGGAGGTTCTGTCTGTAAAGTTCCAGGAGAAACTGGGGCAGAGGGAAGAAAGTGATGCTTGTACTATCCTGGGAGAAAGAGAAAGAATTCATACCTATGCTTTTCTTGGGTGTGTAGGCCCCCCCACCAAAGGAAAAGATTAGGCAGAAACCAAAGTGGTACAGTTTTACCACTTGGATGGGTGTAGCGAAATGAGGAACAGGATGCCTTACCCACTCTCTACTCCACTTGATGGATTTGAACCAGATTATCAAATCCAGAGGAGCAGGGACTGTGTCTACTTTGTCCACCACCATACCCCAGCCTCCAGCACATCACCTGACCCTCACGAGGCACTCAGTTAATAGTTGTTGAATGAATGAATGAGCTAAGGATGGCAAACGAATCTCCTCCGTTCACAGATTTTCTTGACTCACAAAAGACACAGAACACCCCTTGCCCCTGAGCCTCCCCTACACTCCTCAAGGCCCTCTGGTCTCAGAGAAGGGTAGACAATCCAGTCAAATCTTTCATCTTAGGGTCAGAAATGCTCATTCTGCTCAACCCATCATCTCCAGATTCCCTATTCCAGCCTCTCTCATGCCTCCACTTCTGAGTCTGCTTAGTTAGGAAAATTTTCCTGCTAGGTAGAGGTGAAATCCCATAGCCAGAGACTCTTCAGCTTATATGCTCCAGATTCTGAATTAATCTTTGGCAGAGTCCTACTGTGGGAAACAGGATTCCTGGATGCCCCTCCCAAGAAGAAATTGCCCTGCAAAATTATATTAGTATGGGCTTTTTAACCGGAGGCAAAAACACCAGACCCCGGCTCCCTGAAGACAATCTAGATGTCCTAGATTAGAAATTAAAAGGATAGTTGGGGGGCAGGGGGGATAGAATATGTTGTGTGGGGGAATCAAGCCCTTTATATATATGTCTTCATTTTTATTCAGTACACAGCCATGAGATAATTGTGCCCATCCCCCTATTCCCATACTAGAGCCTCCCCAATATTCAACAGGGCCAAATCCAGTAAGTCATCCACTGGGGATCTACCTTTATATCAACATCTTTCTCTGCTTTGAGAAAGTGAGGTTGAGAATCTATTCCTGGTGATTAATAATATGGAAATGGGCCTTTTCTGGTTAAGTTATTACATGCAGCTAGCACTCTTAAGGACCAGACTGCTGAAGTAAGTGAAGACTGGAATAATTTAATCAATAAGATTAGTGATCCTTGTCCACCCTGATCTCCTGTAAGGACATCTCAGCTAATGCACTATGTAGGGTCAGCTGCCTCTACTCCCTTCTTTCCCTGGGTTTCAATGCCTCCTCTGGGGGTCCTCTTCTCTCACCACTGAGCACTTCTCATACTAAAGGAAGAAATAGCAATTTGCTTCCAGGAAAGACTTTTGGTTAGAAAGGTATGGGAGACAGTGAAACAGGTACCTGGAATGGAGGAAGGAAGGTATATGATGGGGAGAAGCCATCCTGGGACACCTTGAATTCTCTCATTTATATACCCTGAGCCCCCTTCTTTGCCTTTCCACCACTTCCTTACCTGCCACCCCCCCTTAGCTTAGTTACCATTAACAGAGCATCGTTTTCTATCAAGAATCACTCAGTGCTCCTCCCAACAAAAATCAATTCAATCCGGTTTTCCATTTCTTCATCCCAGAACTCATTCCAAGGCTGCGCTTCAGAGAGCCCGGCAAATTGCAATGGCTAGAGGCAGCAAAGGACAGGAACTGAGAAGCACATTTGGATGCCAAGCCTGGTTGCCCACTGGGCCTCAGTTCTCCCTAAGGCCTCGCTAAGCAGCTAGAGTATAAATCAGACCCACCCACCCCATATCAAGGCATCATCTTACTACCACAGGTGAAGTATTTTAAAAACAAAACAATCATTAGCATCTATCCATCTCCTACCACCATCTCTCCCTCCACCAGAACCCAGAAATGGAAAGCTTCAGCGCTCACTATTGAAGATAATGGGGAGGAACTGGGTTTGGGAGCTATGGTTCCTGCATTGCCTCACTGAACATCTACAGCCTCTTTTCCTGGGACCACTGGGGGTCATATCAGGGAGAGGGGCACCTTCCCTCATTCTCTGATTAAGAGTCAACAGACTGCAGAGGTTACCGGATGGCAGCTGACTGGGAGAAAAATGTGCTGCATGGTTTGTCTTTGACCCACTCCTCTCCTTCTCTGAGGAACAGAAAGAAAAGTTGCTTCCTTCCCCTGGGACTGGAGTATGGGACACCTGAGTCCCTCGTTTCCCTATTTATCCAGCACCGCCGCCCCCCCCCCCCATACCCTCCTCCTACTACAAGAAAAGATGCCTCAATGTACTTGGAGATCCTTGGGAGATCCTACAGCAACAAAAAGGTTTTGACAGTTGCCTTGCCCCTGTCAATCAACCTTTCTTCACCACCACCACCACCACCCCAGCTCCCAGGGAGGGGCTCCACCCCAACTCTTCCAGATCCCAGCCAGGACCCCCAACATTACTGTGCACAGTGGGTTTCCTGGCCCCAAGAGTGATGAGCAGCTCAGGTATGGGGCGCCCCCCATCCCTACCCCCTGAAAGATGCAGGAGGCAGAAACCACCAATCCCGACAGAGATACATATGACCCACAGGTTGGCACAAGTATCCCCATGCACTAGATCTGCAGCTGTGTGCAATCACTCTACATACACCTGTGTGTCCCACGGACACTCATGCACACACATGTGATGTGTGTCTCACATCTGCACAACCCTGCACACGGATACGTGTGAGTCAGCCTGGCACCTCCTGAATGCTGCCCGTCTGCAGCCCTGCCACACCGCACATAATGTGCCGCCTCTCCGCGCTGCGTGTGTCACCCGGGGGGTCCACAGGCACAGGCACATCGTTAGCTTTGCAACTCCTAAACCCGCTCCAACCAGCCGGCTTGCTCCGCACATGCCTTGCACATGTGGCCTGGCCCTGCGTGTCAGGGCAGCTTATTTCCTCGCACCTGCCAACATGAGTGCGGGAGAGAATCCACGAGCCCGGCTCCGAGACTCCCTGAGATCCCTTCCCCCCACTCCCGGCCGGGGACTCACAGAGACCGAAGCTTAATCCACATCTTCTTGCTGGGGGCTGACTTCAGCTCCAGCGGTGACGGGCAATCCGACTCCAGCATCTCGGGAGGGCTGCGGGGGGACAGCTCCATGCTCAGCCTCTGTCTGTGGAACGGAGGGAGGAGACGGCACCGCGGCTCAGCCTCAGCCCGGAGCCGGGAGCCGCTCCCCGCCCACCCCAGCCCCTTCCCACCTGCGGCGGGCGCGGACCAGCCAGGCCGGGGTCTCCGGGCTCGGCCCAAGCTGGCAGAGCTGCAGGTCCTGCGGCTCCTGCTCTCGCGCTGTCCAGCCGAGCTCTGGCTCCCAGTCCGAGCTCTCCGCGCCGCCGCCGCCGCCGCCGCCGCCGCGCTGCCGGGGCCGCCTCCTCTGCTCTCTCCTCCTCCCCCGGCCGGCCCCCCTCCCTGCGCTCCCTCCTTTCTCGGCCTGCCGGCGCGTCTCTCACTCCTCGCGGCCCCTCCTGCCCCTCCCAGCCGAGCGCCGGGGGAGCCGGGCGCACACGCAGACAGCGGCGCCGAGGGCGAGCGCACGCACCCGGGCGCCCGGGCCGAGCTGCGGCGTGTGCCCCGCGCGGGGGCTGCGAGTGCGCGTTTACAGACTGCCTGCCGCGCAGGCGGCCGGGTGCGTCCCCTGGTCTGTGTTTCGAGTTTCTGTGTATGTGCGTGTGGCTTCGTGTATCCCCGAGTGCCTGGCCGCCTGTGCGCCCCATGTTGTGAGGGAGGGGTAGGGGATGAGTCCCCCTCTCCGCCTGGGGGACCTGGGCACTGGCTGAGGGAAGCCATCGGCCGTCGGAACCCCGCCCCAGACCGGACCCTCCCACCTTGCGCTCCTGCCTTTGGGGGGAAAAGTTCAAGGTCCGCTCTGAGTTGCCGTGGGATCCCATTCCTCTCCTCAGTTCCCTTAACTTGATGGTCCTGATATGTCTCCATCGCTGTGGCCTTCCCCCCGTGCCTCTATCCATCCCCCTGGCCAGTGGGAGTCTCTTCCAAGCTTAAAGCTTTCCAGACGGAATCCACTAGAGCCGGCGGGACCGCATCATCTCCGTACAGAACTCCGTAAGAACCAGGAAACCAGCCCCTCCTGTAGCGGGTCCTTTTTATTTCCTCTTATTCTGTCTTCAGTAAAAGAAATCTAATGGCTAAGGGCCCAGCACAATACAGCCTAGCTGCTTAAAACATTTGTAGAATGAGGGGCGCCTGGGTGGCTCAGTCGGTTGGGCACCTGCCTTCGGCTCAGGTCATGGTCCCACGGTCCTGGGATGGAGCCCGCAGTCCTGGGATCCAGCCCAGCCTTGTCAGGCTCCCTGCTGGGCAGGGAGTCTGCTTCTCCCTCTCCCCCTCCCCTTGCTTGTGTGTTCTCTCTCTCAAATAAATAAAATCTTTAAAAAAAAAAAAAATTTTTTTTTTGTAGAATTAATGAACTGAAATTTGAATTCAAGACTTTGTAACAGGGCAAGCCTCTCCCACCCGGCTGAATCCTACCTAGGATTCTGGCAGGAACCACCTTAGGATCCCTTAGAATTGTTCTCCTCCTTAATAACCACCTACCTTAGAGTTGTGGGGAAATCCCATGTAAACAGAAAGTGGAGATGTATTCACTAACTGCTGGATCCCAAAGAGGCCACTAATCCAGAATCCCAGAACGTGAGTTTTCATTTCAAGAACTCTGGAGGTTGGAGGGAGGGATGGTCAGGAGAAGGTATTTTACTCCATTCTAAATATCGGGGTGAGGCTACTCCCCTTCCCAGGCAATGGAGGAGAAAAGAGCAGAAGTGAAGTGGCAGGGCAAAGACTTCCAGCATAAAAGAATTGCCCTTTAGGTAATTAGGTTAGGTCAGGCCTTCAGACCTGGCAGGGCAGAGAGGTATCAGCAGAACCAGCTCCCAGCAAGTACCCGGGCAGAAGGAGATGGCAGGGTCAGAGATGGAGAAAAAGCGGAAAGAGTGTGGGACTTCCCTGTCTCTGTCCATCTAGCTTCTGCGTCCATCCCCCTTTCCCCTCCGTGCCTGAGGAAGAGCCCCAGCCAAGACAAAGCTGCAGCTGAGACCCCAGTCAGACTCCTACACAATCCACTTCTCAAACTTGAGAGCAATCACCTTCCTTAACAACTGAAAAAGAATGGGCTGGAAACGACAAAAGAATTGCAAATTAGGATCAGAGCTAAGGAGCTGCCCAAATTAGGCAGGTATTTAAACAAAAAGAGGTGGAAAAGAGGCGGGAGATGTACTTCCAGAGGGATCTCGACAGGTCTCATCAACACAGTGGCATATCCCACCCTGATCTCCCAGGCCCCCAACTCCTAACCCATTTTAAGAAAGGAAAATTCACCGAAACAAAACAAAACAAAAAGTTATTCACCAAAGATACTTTCGAGTCCATCTAGTCTGACCCCCTCCATTTAACGAGTGGGAAAACTAAGCCCAGAAAAATGACGTGGTCCCCACAGAGAGTAAGCAACAAAGCCAGAGCCAAGCCTCCTAACCTTTTTCTTGTGCTTTTCCATCCTGTGGCTCTCTTTCTCCTTCTTTAGTCACCAGTCCTGGTATTTAACCTCAACCTCATCCTTCTTGCGGCAATTTAATCCCATGTCTGCCTTACCCTACCTCTACACGGATAAAAACCAGATATGTCTGCTCCATCCATAGGCTCAAAAGACCACGATTTTTCCCTCCCTGTCCCCTTGCCCTAACCCCCCTCTTTTCCAGGCTGCTTCTGCCAGCCTCCTTCCTCTCCTTTTTGCCTTCCAAACTGCCCCTGCCCCTTGGAGACCCTGCCTCCTCACTCCCCTAACCCCACAATTCCTCCCAACAAGCTTTGAGTTTGATAGAGACCAAAAATGATGCTTTGGCAGCAGTGACGGATGGATATGATGTGCCTCCTACGGGAATGCTATTTAAAGGGGCGGCCTCACAATCCTCGCCTTCCAAAGTGACAAGAGAAAAAGCCTGCTCCTCAATCTCTCCAGAGCTGCAAACCCAGCTCAAGTTAACTTCTGACTTCCTCAACCTGCAACCTGGCCTGCGCTCCTATTCAGGTGGGAGGGAAAGCACTTGACAACTCACTGAGGTGTGGGGGCTGAGGGGGGATTCATCTTTGTCTCTTTTGATGACAGGTACTTAGGAAGAGCAGGAGGTCCTGTGGGGGGGAGAGCTGGAAGAACACTCTTCCCCCAACCTCGTGAGTGCATTTCAGCCACGTGCCAGCTTCTTCTCAGAGTCAAACTTTGTTGGAGAAGAACTGAGAGAGGCACAAGGACCTACGGTAGGGAAGTCTTAGCCCTAGCTGGTATCTCCTTCCCTCCTGGGCCTCGGGCTCAGATCGAAGCCGTTCTAGGCCTCCCAGGCAAAAGGGCCGCCAGGTAAGATCCCCTCGGCCAGGCCCCAGCCCCGCCTGCCCACCGAACTGAACACCCCTGTAGGGAAGCAGTGTTCAGACAGCCGGAAGGAAAGGGAGCTCCTCTGCAAGCATCTCACCCCAGGCCTGGTGGGAGGGATAATTCCATGTCATTGTGCAAACAAGTTAATGGAGATTTTAATGAAAACACTGCACTAATGAAAAAGCTGAGGCTGGAACCTACTCTCTGCCTGCAAGACAAAACAATTGGAGTCAGAATTTCTCCCTGATAGTCATTCCTCACTTCCTTTTAAGGCCTGAATAAAACAAGCTGGGGATCAGCGGTTGTGTCCCCAGCTGTCAGGGGTCAGAGATCCTCCTGGTCAAGGAAGCATACTGCTGAAAATGTTGATGGGTCCCGTCACCGCACCTGTCCCTTCTCCTCTAGACATTCTCCTTTTGTTTCAGGTGGTAATGAAGTGGGAGAACGAGGTTCTCGTCTCACAGAGTTGAAGAATGAATCTTGCCCTGACCAAGGACAGTGAGTAAAGTGATAGAGTTTTAATGAGTGAGGATACAGAGAGAGCTCTCAGGAGTGAGAGGGGTCCCGACAGGGTTGCCACTGAGGGCTTTTAGGGTTGGTCTTTCATTGAAGGCTAACCAGGGAACTTAAATCCTTTGAACGTTTCTACTGATAGCACCATTGAGTAAGGACTAGTGATACCTTCAATGGCTTGCTTCCTTCTTAGGGTCTGGTAATTCTTTGTTGGTCACAAGTAGCTGTTATAACAAGACCCCCACCTCTGACACCTAGGACGGGATGGTCTGGTGTTGTTCCTTTATCTCTGGTTTCCTTACACCTCCACATTTTGGGGATTTTTGTAAGCCTGATCCCATAGCCCCCTACCTATCTCTCGCTACCTAGCCCCACCTGTCCCTCACTCAGTAAGGCCACCATGTCCTCACCTTCTCCTATTTACTCATTCTAGAGTCTCTGGATTCTAACGAACAAGGCTTCCCAGATGAAGAGGCAGTCTGGTCAGGTAGAAAATGTCTAGGATTGATATCAGACTTGGGTCCCAGTTCTACATGTACTGCTAAACATGTGACCTTCATTAAATCATTGAGCATCTCTGAATCTGTTTACTGGCCTAAAATACGGAAGTCTTCCCTGGCTACCTTGCAGAATTGTCATAAGGAATGCGAGAGCACTTTGAAAAAGTATACATAATAGAGAAATGTGTGATTACATGTTTGTAAAAAGATATTATGTCCAATGACAACATTTTAGAAAAGGAGAACAGATTTCTATTGCCAAGGGGAAGGGGATGAGGTTGTAAAAAAGCAACATGAGGGATCCTTGTGGATCTTGACCATGGTGGTGGCGGATGTACAAACCTACACGTGAAAAAGCTGTAGAGGGGCGCCGGTGTGGCTCAGTTGGTTAAGCGTCTGCCTTCGGCTCAGTTTATGATCTCAGGGTCCTGGGATGGAGTCCCATGATCGAGCCCCGCACTCAGCAGGGAGTCTCTTCTCCCTCTCCCTCTCCCCCTCTGCCCACTCGTGCTCTCTCTCTCACTCATTTTCTCTCAAATAAATAAAATCTTTAAAAAAAGAAAAAAGAAAAAGCTGTATAGAACTAAATACATACACACAGAGGAATGAGTGTAAGTAAAACTGGGAAAATCTGGATTAGATCATGAATTGTATCAAAGTCAATATCCTGGTTATGATAGTATACTATAGTTATGCAAGGTGTTACCTATGGGAGAAACTGGTAAAGGTACTTAAGATCTCTCTGTGTGTTTGTTTGTTTGTTTGTTTTTAGTTGAAGTATGGTTGACACACAATGTCTCTGTGTTATTTCTTACAAGTGCATGGGGGTTAACCATCTCAATAAAAAAAAAAAAATTTTAAGTAAGCTTTCTACCCGATGTGGGGCTTGAACTCACAACCTTGAGATCAAGAGTCACATGCTCTACTGACTGAGCAAGGCAGGCACCCCTCTCTCGAT